TGCACAATGATATCTAGGTTAATTAGGATAATTAATATTTTATTGCTTTCTTAGAGCTATAGATATATTAGGATTAGATCTATTTGGTGCCTATATAAAGGACCATCCCCCATGTTATTTTTCATCATTCAAGACATCAATAAAAATCTAGAACTTTGTTCTTCCAACTTTGCTTTAGTCTTTTCACCAGAATACTATTGCAATTTTATTCGTTCCAAGAGGCGCTGTTGTGGCTCGAAGAACACTATCGACGATTCAAGGCGCGGGTTAGCGGCTTATCGGCAGTCAAAACACACGATCCTCATCACGCTGGCAGCAGTGCACAGGGCCCGGCAGACAAGCAGGGTTTCAGATAGGACCGACCGATTTCAAAAAGTACTCGACCAATTCACTTAAAATCTTTACACATTAAAATAGGCCCAGAAAGACATAATTTCACAAAGTTTCAGACCCAACACTTCGGTTAACTTAAGCAACCAATTTTTACAAAAAGACGATGAAAATCTGAACTTTCTAGTTCACCGGGCAATCCTGTGAATTTTTCAACAAAACTTAAACACAACACATATAACATTAGGTTACTAACACTCACCAAAAATCAAAGCAAAACACCAAGAATCCAATTTTTAATGATTTTTTAAAGTTTCTGCCCAGAATTGCAAATCGACATTTGACATAGCTACAGACATCATTTCGACTTGAAATTTTTACAACACATAATATACCAAAAGAAGGTCATACATTTTAAATTACACAACAATCGAACGAACACACGATTTATGATGATTTTTGTAAAAATCAGCAGCAACTCCCGATACAAAAATACATATATGGCCACATACTCAACAAAAACGTCTAAGGCCTTCACCATGAGGCCAAAGACTAATAAATGTTCCATAGTCCATAGCCCTAACACGATTTATGAGGGTTCATCAAACATGCACAACAAAATGGCTCGTAGGTGAAAAATGAGCTAAAAATTGATTTCTATATGACCGAGCACCCTTACTTATTTTTAGAAACTGTTTTAACCCCATATTACTCATGATTTATAAGGATTTTTAAGCTCAAGAACTCAGCCTAAACATGCATGCAACGAAAACACGATTTTAAGGCTTTAAGCTTCAAAAATCCGATTTTCTCATTCTACCAGAGAAAAAACTTGATTTCTCTACATGATAAATCTTAAAATATCATGTTATAGCTAGGATAAAAAGATAGCACGAGATAACCTTCACCGAAGGACGAAAACGGCGCTAGGTCCCTTGCTCGGCTCTTCTTGGGTCACTAAAGGCCTTGGCTTGACTTGGTGGCCTATAAGCTGAAGATGGCGGCTTCTCTAAGCTCCTTATACTCCCAGAGATGATATGAACTCGGCTTGGTGCAGTAAAACTCGGCTAGAACAAGAGATGGCTCGGTGCTCCTCTTTATCGGGCCTAGGCGCATGCATGCAAGGTTCTCGGCTATCTCTCTCTATATGGCTGAGTTTGGGTGAAATTTTTAAGTATCCAAGAGTGTTTTCTTGCTGAAGAATGAGGTTAAATGGAGTCTTGGGCGGATTTCACTAAGTGGCTCAGGGGAGACACATTTTAAGTGCTCTTTTCCCACTTCATGTGCACCTAGGGACT